GAACAACCTGGCAGCACTCCAGCTGCTCTGCCCCAGGCGTCCCCAAGAGCAACTGGGGTGCTGCCAGGTTGGTCCCGCAGCCCCGAGGGGCAGCGCTACGAGACCAACCTGGCAGCACCCCACCTGCTCTGCTCCCGGCTTCCCCGATTCAGCTGCTGGTCAGTTTCAGCAGCAGCTGAATGGGGGAAGCCTGTCCGGCTGCCCCAGCACTTCCGGGTTCCTGATGGTGCCGGACCATCAAGAGTCCCGGAGCATTGGATGCCGGACTAATGGAGTTTTACTGTATTTAATTACCTGCTTCATTATCTTTCCTGGCACAGAAGTTAAACTGACTGGCCTGTAATTTCCTGGGTTGTTTTTATTTCCCTATTTATAGATGGGCACTATATTTGCCTTTTTCCAGTCTTCTGGAATCTTTCCTGATTTCCATGATTCTTCAAAGATGATAGCCAAAGGCTCAGATACTTCCTCTATCAGCTCCTTGAGTATTCTAGGATGCATTTCATCAGGCCCTGGTGACTTGAAGATATCTAACTTTTCTAAGTAATTTTTAACTTGTTCTTTTTTTATTTTAATGTCTAAACCGACCCCCTTCCCACTAGCATTAACTCCATTAGGCATCCCTTCATTAAACTTCCTGGTGAAGACCAAAACAAAGAAGTCATTAAGCACTTTAATAATGTCCCTTTGAAAAACTGTCAACTCTCTTCAGATTTTTTTTACTCTTAGTCTTGCTTCCCATGGAACCTTACCTACCAGCTCTGAGTTTACTAAAATCTGCCTTCACGAAATCCATTGTCTCCATTTTGCTGTTCTTCCTTCCACCATTCCTTAGAATCATCAGCTCTATGATGTCATGATGACTTTCACCCAAGCTGCCTTCCACTTCCAAATTTTCAACCAGTTCCTTCCTATTTGTTAAAATGAAATCTAGAACAGCTCCCTCCCTCCCCCAATAGCTTTCTAAACCTTCTGAAATAAAAAAAAATGTCTCCAATGCAGCCCAAGAACTATAGGATAATTTGTGTCCTGCTATGTTAGTTTCCCAACATATGTCTGGATAGTTGAAGTATCCCATCACCACCAAAAATCCTGCACTTTTGATGATTTTGTGAGTTGTTTAAAAAAAGCCTCATCCACCTCTTCTGCCTGGGTAGGTGGTCTGTAGTAGACCCCTAGCATGACATCACCCCTGTTTTTTACCCCTTTAACCGAACCCAGAGACTCTCAACAAGTCTATCTCCTACGTTCATCTCCACCTCAGTCCAAATGTATACATTTTTAATATACATGGCACCCCCCCACCCCACTTATCCTTCCTGAGTAAGCTGTACCCTTCTATGCCAATATTCCAATTGTGTATATTATCCCATCAGGTCTCTGTGAAACCAACTATGTCATAATTTAAAAAACAACAAATAGACTAGTAGCACCTTAAAGACTAACAAAATATGTAAATGGTATCATGAACTTTCGTGAGTGCAACGTCCATGGCAGTGGGGCATTGTTGGCATTTGGTGACATAGATCACATTAGTGAATGTGCAGTTAAATGAGCCTCTGATTTGGTGGCTGATGTGGTTGGATCCAGTAATGAAATTGCTTGTGTAGATGTGTAGGCAGAGTTGGCACTGGGATGATTATGATTATGATGGAGGGGTGTTGCGTGGTGTCATGATCATGAGGGTTAGCCAGCAGCCTGAGGACTAAGGGGTTAACATACCTAACCCAGGTAGAGTTGGCCAAGAGGAATGAAGGTAGGAATTTCAAACTAGAACAAAGGAATGTTTGGTTTCTCCCTCCTTTGTTCTGGGCAGTTGTCTCTCCAGCTACTGAGGGAGTCAAACAGAATGTCTCCCTCTAAGAATAGACTCTTCAGTCTTCTGTAAGTAGGGTAAAGTTTAGATAAATCTTTTAGGTTTTATTGTTTTATGGTTTAGGAAGTGGGATCTGATGTTTATGCATTTAAAATGGGTTTTGGTCTCCTTTGTAACTAAGCTCCCCCCTCCATGAGTTATTACTTTGTGACTCTACCATCTAGTCATTATGCTTGCAACAGGAATATTGTGTTGATGATAAAAGTTCTCTCTCTTTTCATTGTATTAACCTGGTATTGGTTAATTTTTGTGTCCTGGTTTGTACTTAGGGGTAAGATTTCCCAAGCGATCCCTCCCCTGATTTTCTTATCATTAGTTGGGTGGTGGCAGCGAAGTTTTTATCCCCAAAATCTAGGTTAAGATTTTGGGGGGAAGCTTTTATCAAAGCCTGGAAAGATACAGTTTTGGGGTACTTTTGAGGGCCATGAGTGGGGAAGGAGCCATGACATGTGGTCATAATCATCCAGGAACCCACCCCTGCAATCAGCTCCATGTACATTGGCCAAACTGGACAGTCCCTACAGGAAAGAATTAATGGACACAAATCAGATATCCAAAAAAGCAATACACAAAAACCTGTTGGAGAACACTTTAATCTACCTGGACAATCATTAATGGATCTCCAAGTCACCGTTTTGTTTCAGGCCAATTCCATCAGCCAAATACACAGAGAAGGATTAGAACAACTTCATTTACAAGTTTAATTCTTATGCAAATGGTACGAACAAGGACATCGGCTGGCTCGCACACTATTTTCCACATCTTATGACTTAACCTACCAACCAAACAACGGAGGTGCTAATTGTTCTTAGCAGCCTGTTGCAACTATTTGAACCATTTACTCACAGTCTCTCTATTTTTTTCTCCTTTTTCCCCCTCTTTTTTTCTCCCCCCCAATTTATTCTTGGATCTGGACTTCTAATACTCCTGTCATCTGAAGAAATGGGTTGCGCCCATGAAAGCTTATACCCCCATCTACATGTTTTGTTAGACTAGTAGCACCTTAAAGACTATTTGTTGTTTTTTAAGCTTTTCCCTCTGAAACTTGTCATAATTGTGTTCATTTATTAGCACTTCAGGTTCTTCCTACTTATTACCCATATTTCCTGCATTTGTATACAGGCATTTAAGATACTGATTTGATTTTGCCTCCCAGTTCTGCCTTGTCCATCCTTTATCTCTGCTATTATAGCCCAGGCACCTTCCTATTTCTGACCCATCTCCCAGGTCTCCCTTACCCATACTCCCGGAGCCATGGAAGCCAAATCCCTCCTGGCAACACCATCTACATAGCCAGGCATTCACCTCCAGAATACACCTGTCTCTGCCTGGGCCCCTACCATTGACAGGAAGGACTGAAGAGAACACCACTTGCATTCCAAATCCCTTCACCCATACTCCCGGAGCCATGGAAGCCAAATCCCTCCTGGCAACACCATCTACATAGCCAGGCATTCACCTCCAGAATACACCTGTCTCTGCCTGGGCCCCTACCATTGACAGGAAGGACTGAAGAGAACACCACTTGCATTCCAAATCCCTTCACCCATACTCCCGGAGCCATGGAAGCCAAATCCCTCCTGGCAACACCATCTACATAGCCAGGCATTCACCTCCAGAATACACCTGTCTCTGCCTGGGCCCCTACCATTGACAGGAAGGACTGAAGAGAACACCACTTGCATTCCAAATCCCTTCACCCATACTCCCGGAGCCATGTAGTCAACTCTTGATCTGCTCAATGTCATACCTTGCAGTATCATTAGTTCCCACATGGATGAGTAGCATGGGGTAGTAGTCAGAGGCTGGATAACCCTTGACACTGCCTCCGTAATATCTCGGATAGGGGCTCCTAGTAGGCAGCATACCTCCCGAGATGAAATGTCAGGGCAACAGATGGGTGCCTCCGTCCCCCTCAGAAAAGAGTCTCCGACCACCACTACCCTACATTTCCTTCTCGCAGCAGTGGCTGCAGACCTCCCAGCCTTGGGGGTATGAGGCTTCTCTTCTGCTCTAGGGGTGATTCCTTATCTCCCGCATCCATTACAGCATAACAGTTCTCCAGAATCATGGTGGGAGGGTTGGGAACAGGGGTGGCCAGCTTTCCATGTCCCCCTTGAACCATCTCCTCCTCCACCAGTGGTATACCATGGACTTTTGTAGTTGGACAGCTTCCTCAGCTTCAGCATGAATACTCTCCAGGAATTCCTCATCAATTTGGATAATAGTATATTTTCCACATCTCAGGAGTGATTATATTTGTGAGAGTTCAGATTTAATTTTGCTTATATGCTATTCTTGGCCCAAGGATCAACACTAATTTACCAAGCTGTGAAGAAAAGTCACTTGATGATTTTCTTCATTATGCCTAGTCATATATATACACACAGTATACACAGACTCATTATGACTGTCTCTTTAGACAGTCTATTCTAATTTTACCTTATCCTGATCAACACCAGGTTCTCTGTATACTGTCCATTTCTGTGCATCATCACTGTATAGAATTCGGTAGGCAGAGATGTAATAGTAGTACTCAGCTATGGTGGATCCAGTAGTTATAATACCTGTAAATATAAAGGTTTCCATTTATAGGTCTGCTTGGAAAAATGTTTACATCAATGTTTTCATGCACTGCTTTAGAATACAAAGCATGTACCCAGGATACGGCAACTTTAGGTAGAGGAATCAAGCATATGTTCTCTTCTGCATCAGTTAATATTTGAAATATTTTCCTTTTAAACATTTGTGACTGTGTTCTTATAATTATTTTAACTTACTATTCTAAAACGTCCTTAACTTTTTTTTCTTTGCATTTCTTTGTAGGGAGTCAGTCTGCTGCATTTTGGCCTTGTATTCTGGATTTACAAAGACAAACTAAAGCCACTCTGGTTTTGAATTCACAGACTATCTATATATAAAGCAGTACTGAGACACCACAAGCTTTCTTAAGCATGTACTTACAAGTATTATAATAGTCTAAGAAACATTTTTATAGAAAGCATCGATACAGACATGAAATTAAAAGAAGAGTATAAAGATCAGAGCAAAGATGGAAAGAGGAGAACAAAAGTTTGTTGTATGAAAGTTGATGTTCCAGTGAGACTGTTATCTGGGATTACAAAGATCATTCCTGAGACAGCTGTAACACTGAACTGACCAATTAAAAGAGGATAGTTTAGGATTGTCTTCTTGAAGTATAGGTGTTAAAGAACATATCTGCTCCACCTAAAACTAATTAAATTTTGACATGAGGCAGATTAACACACATGCGCGCGCGCACACACACACACACACACACACACACACACACACACACACACACGGAAAAGGTGAAACAACTTTGAAGAATTAATGCAGAAGAGAAAAAAGAGGAGAATGCAACCTCTCATGCAATGGTTGCCCTACACCTGCGGACTGGTGGTGCATCGCAAATCCCATCCTGCTGGGACACAGCACATTGCCAGGCCATGCCCCCAACTTTTAATTAGTCCCACCCACAGGGGTTCCCCATAAGGGGATTCCCTTCCCACCCACTTCCCCATGCATCAGCAGGGTGAATGGGGCAGCTGGCAGCCAGGTGTGCCACAGCTGGAGCTGGGGCTGGGGCAGCCTCACTGTGGTCCCAATTCCAGCTCTGACAGCTGCTATGCAGCCTGCCTGGTGGGGCTGCGTGGAGAGCAGCTGCGGTGCTGGGGAGGGGGAGACGACGGGAGGGAGCCAGGGCCTGCTGTGTGGTTGGGGGGAGCCAGGGTTTTCTCCAGCTGCAGAAGCCAAGGCTGCCCAGTGGGCGGCTGCTCTGGCGGACAGAGCTGAATAACAGAGGTGTCAGGGTTGGAGTGTATGAGGGGCCTGGGGCACGTATTTTGGAGAACCGGTAACATTTTCTGTAAATAATGACTATGCAAATAAAATGTTGCTGGTCTGCTGAAAGTTTGTGAATGGGTTTGCCGGTCCCCGGTATAAAAAAAAGATTGGGAACCACTGATGTAAAGGACATCCTCAGACCCTGACCAAGACCAACTGTTTCATAGTTATCAGTCCCTTCATGTAACAGTTGCCACCTGCTTGTTCCAAACTCCATTCCTGTTCAGTATGCAGTAGAACTGCAAAACATCAGTGAATTAACAGCTATGTAGCAGTAGCTGACACAAACATCCCACTCATTGAGGCTTCAATCCAGGAAAGCAATAAGCACTTGCTTAACTTTATGACTAATAGCCCATTTGACTATTCATAAAAGTTGAGCTTACACATATCTGCTGTGCTGGATCACAACCCAAATATCTTAGTAACAATATGGAGGAAATTACAAAGTAGGGGAAAAAAACCCAGAAAGCAGATTTAAAATAAGCATTGCTACTTCCGCCATCTATATTGTTAAAATTAAATATTTTTGAAGCACACAGATTAAGTGAATGAAACATGAATGCTGAAAGAGTACATGCATGGATATTAGTAACATGCACACAACATAGAAGAACGAAAGATGGCTACTTTCTCCTTTTGTTGTCACATACCCCATTTTAGTAAAGTGAAAAGTATATATTTGCTATAAAGTCTGTCCAAAGTCTCTCCTAAACAATGTGAACACATGCTGTACAACAATGGTAAGAGTGTGGGGAATGAGACAGTAGAAAAAGGAACGTGAAATATTATGCACTCAAAACCACACAGTCATAAATGAGATTACAATCTGAGGATATTATACTTTTGTAATTCATGGACCTTACAGCTCTATTCATCACATGGCTGCCTATGGACTGAAGACAATCTAAGCCCTGCATATATTCAACTAGCATTAGAGTTGGAAGATCTCTCATAGTTTGTTCTCTATTAGTGACTAGGAAAACTGAGAAGAGATCAGATGTAATGAGAGGCTGCTTGCACACAAATGTAGCATTTATACTGAAGTGTATCTTCCTTATATCTGTAGTTATTGTAAATTACATCTGTTTTCTTTAAGATCACACATAGCCAAGGCAGGCTTTCACATCTCCTTACAAGAAATGACAACTCAGGGAAAAATCCCAAGAAAAAATGCAGTTTGAAATGCAAATTAGCAATGTTAGATATCGTGTAATTGAATAGTCATGTAACCACATCAAACCTTAGTGGTTACACGACTATTGGATAGTTCCTGGGGCAAGACAATCAGGAGTGTGGCATGAGCGAGGGGGGCAGGCAGCACCACGGAGCTGGTGCTGGGAGGGAACCAGCTTTTAAGCCAGCTCCCCCCAGTACTGGCTCCTGTCTGACCCCCCTCACTGCCTCGAAGGCAGGTCCGCAGAGCTGGCGCATGTAGGGAGCTGGCTATCACAGGCAGCAGTGCAGAGGTGGGGGGAGGAGGCAGATCAGCTGCTCGTGGAGAGCCTGCTTAAAGTCACCTCACAGGCAACAGCTCCCGCTCTCCCGCCCCACCACTGCCTCGGATACAGTGACAGTGGAGGGGACGTGGGTGTAGTTGACAAGATTAACTAATGTAGTAAACTACACGTTGACATCCCTAATGCAAATGTGTCTCAAAACATGAGATACAGTACAAACTACTCTTGAGGGAAGTCTGTGCTACTACGCATGCACAATATTCATAACCCTTCAGATTTCTTTGTTTCCCTGCAGAAAAATCCCTTTCCAATGGGAAAGCAAAAGGAAGCTGCAAGGGCGGTCACACACCTCTCCACAGCAATGTGGGTGCATCATTTCAGGTGCCTGGAACGGTGTGGTTTATCACTACCAGTGGAGTAAGGACGGTTGTAAGATAGGGATGGTGGCTCCTACCCTGGAATGGGCTCAGCTGCTAAACCTGGCTGGGCTGCACAAGGGCAGGACTTCCTCTTCCTCAGCAAGGAATGTCCATGACTGGGTCAGATTCACCCCCAGAAACCTTCCCAGGCTGCAGGAACCTCCCCCCCCCCCCCCCCCCCCCCCTCAGCTTCCTGTCCCCATTACCTGTCAGTCAGGGGTCATTGTACAGGAAGCAGCTTCCCCTGCACCCAGAACCCATATATCTAAATTACCCTACTCCACCCTCCCCTTCACTCAGCTCCCCTCACTGATCCCCTCATATCTGGAGCCCCACTGCAGCCAAACCCCTGCTGCCAAGCTGCAACACCCTGCACCTGGACTCCCTCCACCTAAAACCCCCTCACTTCAACACTCACCTCACTGATGCACACAAGTCCACACCTGGGCCATCAGAAAGCCCCCCACACCAACCAGCTGCACCCAGACACCCATTTAACTGCCCCACATAGAATCCTCTCATTCCACATCTGAATCTCCCTTCCCCTCTTCCCCCCACACACTAAACTCCACCAAACTTGGCTCCTGCTAAGCTGAGCTCACTTGCCCACACCTGGCTTAGAAGGACAGGGTCCCCAGGATGTTTCTAAGCCATTCCCAGCCCTTTCGCTGTGTCAGGATCATGTGCAGCCTCACCGCCATATCTGGGGCTGCTGGGTGATCTCCCACCTCTGTGCAACCAATGGCCTGTTCTCCCCACTGCCATGCTGGACTTTCCACATTTATTTATTGAAAAATAAAACGTACAGAATTTTAAAATATTATGCACAGAATTCGTAATTTTTTGGTGCAGAATTCCCTCAGGACTTATTACATATTACTCCTAAGTACTTAATTGGAGACGACGAACCTTTTAAGTGTTGTGTTTCCATACAAGAAGTGAAGGGTAGTGATGGATCCTATAAATATGAGTATAAAGTAACATTTATATCAAAGATCCCCAACTCCACAGACAAAATACACCTGGATTTAATAGGCTTATTTCAGTCTTATAAAAAAACCTTCAACAAGATGTCACGGTAGTTATAAAATGATGGAGAAAAACTGTCCTCTCTTGCCACAGCAGACAGAAGAACAGGCAATGGGTTCCAACAATAACACAGCACATTTAGATTAAATCTCAGGAGAAACTTTGGAACTGTAAGAACAGTAAGACAATAGAATCTTCTTAACTGGAGGTTTTCAAAAAGAGACTGGATAACCAGTTTTCTTGACTGGGTTAGCCAGAGCAAATCCTGCTTCTTGACTGGGGGATCAGAGTAGAGGACCCTTTGCTGTCCCTTGTAATCTCATGGTTCTATGATTCTATGTCTTCTATTTTGTATGCAAGATGAAATAGGCACAAGAGTGGCGGTGAATAGGATCAGAGTTAATGCTGTTTAACTATTCACTGTCTTTTTTCTTTTTTTAAATCATGGCATCAATTTTGAATTTCCAGATTAAATGTACCAGTTATCTTGCCACCCAAACTCAACTTTGTGACAAAAGGTCTTTAAAAGACAGAAAACTACAACACTAACAAAGGAATTCCTTTAAGGAGATCATATGCATATATTTAATGCCAACTTGGTTAATTTGGTAGGTCAATAAAAGTGAATTTATCATCTGAAGTAATCAAATAAGGTAACTCTGGTCTACAACACTGATATGGGTTCAAAGGTATGAAACACTAATAAACTGATAATAAAAAGTCACCATGACACAAATGTGACCGAAAATGTTTGAAGAACATAACTATTTCTATAGTTTCATGACATACACAACCTTTTAAAGTGGCATTTGGCAAGGCTCTCATTTCATACATCCTTATACGCTAAGTACAACAATCAGGAAAAATTGACAACAGGCCACATGGAATAATGGAAAATTAAACAGTTGTTGGGAGAGCAAAGGACAATGTTCAATGTAGTGATTTTCCTGGGTTGTTTTTTGGGGTTTTTTTGGTTCTGTTTACATATTTTTAATATAATGAGGGATGAGTGACAACAGCTAGAGTTCAGGTTAATAGGAAATGGAAAGGTGAAAATAGTGAGTTTTGAAGTGGGAGAAGAATATCACTTTATGCACAGGAAAAGGAAAGAGATGATGAAATGAGAAGTGAATGCACAGGGCTTTCAACGTGATTAAGAAAGCATCAGACCAACACAAGGCATGAGTCTTGGAATCCATCATTCTTCAAATTAAGAATGATCTTAAGCAGAAGTATAACCCTGCAATTTTTGTTAATGTCAAGGGGAAAAGAAATCTCAGGAAGGTTAGTTGATATAAAATCTAACTACATAATCAGAAAAGAGGACTAGTAACAAGATCTAAAAGTGATATCTGTTAGTCTTCATTCTTTTCCACAAACAAGGAGGAAAATTAAGATGTAGATAGCACTAAAACGAAAAGATTGAAGCCAACGATCAAAAAAAGTTAAGTATTACATAAAACTGTAATTTTTTCTTTGGGTGATCCACTTCAAAGAATGCATACTGCTACATTACAAAGAATTAATTCAGAATTGACATATATATAAGAAAGCCAGGAAAGCCTTTTTCATCCAAAAGAACAATCACCAGAAACAGTTACACAAAACTTGTTGAGTGGCTCTTATGCAAAACCATCCGCTAAGCTGTCCATCTCTAATTCTAGAATTTCTTGGATAGAGTAAGTAGGGACCATGGAAATATTGTTCTGATCGTAGTCAGAAGCCAATTGAAATTCATTTATAACCCCCAGATTAAAACTCCATCAGTTATGAACCTACCCGTTCCCTACATTTCCAAATATTCTTTTAAAAGCCACCTTAGATCTGCTTACCTGTTATTTTCTTTTCTTTATTCAGGTCTATTTGTAACCACTGATATCCATCAGTGGCAAAAGCAGCCCAAGGAGGTCCAACCCTTTTCAATCTGGCTCTTTCAGGGGTCCAGATGTTTACCAGGCCTGTTTGGTCAGGCCACTCTAGACTTGATGATGCAGTAATTTGAGAATCAGGGATTACTCCAGATTCCATTCCCAGTGTCCCATAGCAACCTGAACAATATAAGAAATGATTAAAATACAAAATCGAAAGTTACTCAACCAAATTTTCTTGCTCTGAATTCTTCCTTTTAAATTAAAGTTATATTGTGTAATAAAATGATTTTTCAAATCTGGTATTTAATTGTATACCATGGTAAACTATCTACTTCAGTGTCTAAAAATTCACAAAGTTAATTCAAACTGGAAAACTGTAAATAAAGGGTAAGGATAAAAAGCAACACACAGTTACAGAAGAGTTGTCAAGTAGGCTACTGAGCAACATTAATCTGATATTAATTTCTTCATTAATGGAGTTACATAGTGGGTAAACAACACATCAATGAAATTTACAAAGGAAATTAAATTAGGAAGGGTTACAAACATCAATAGGGACAAAAATAATGAAAAGTGAAATTCAATGTGGAAAACAACAGCTAATGTATCTTGGAGAAAATCATCTGGAAAATATATTGGAAGGAAGGGTAAAACATGAAAAGCAGTAATGCTCTAAAAGGTGCAACACTGATTATGCTGAACAGCAAATAAATATGAATTTTCATATTCACCAATAAAAAGGATCAAAGAAGTTTGTGGTTTTATGTGCAGGAGTATTCATATTACCACTGCAAGGGTGTGACAGTTTCTTGCTAAGGCTCAGGCAAGAAAACATCTGGATTGAAATGTTACATTCAGTTGGGGGAGAGGGGAGAAGAGGTGTTGTCTCAATACCAGAAAGTTAAGAAAGAAGAATATAAATTAAGAGGCTTGAAGGTTATATTTTTTAACAAACTCAGTTAACACTCAGCAATAGGTAATACATTTGCTGTAAAAACTAAGTAAAATAGAATAGAATGTAAAAAAATTACTAAAAATATAAAATGAGCAAATGCTGACCTTTCCACTTTTCAGCATACTTATATTTACATTCTTATATTTTAAACTACATTAAGAGACCAACAAAAAGGTAGAAGAACTTCTTTCTATGTAGCCACACAAAAAACCTTGAGTACTAGCATACGGGGAAAGATTCAAAGGACAAATAATTATAACTAGGCTAAACAATAACTTTGGGGGCTGGAGACAATACATTTTCAAATGTTTCAAATCTAGAAATGGAGAGGTTAAATTTAAGAATGAGGAAGTGGAAATAGGACTCAGAGCAATTGAATTAAAGGGTTTCATTTAATCAAATTGTCAATACCAAGCATACTAAGCCTTTATCCGTATATTCAAAGCCCTTAAACTCTGATTCACTCTCACAACAATCCAGTGAAAACTCATAAATACATAAGAGGTATTTAATTAACTCAGTTAAAAAAAGTCTTCGTTGCAAGCACAACAGCTCTATTTAAAAAAAACACCACACTTTTCCCACTCCGTAAGTTTATATAAAAATTAATATGAGAGTGATAATGCTTACCACTAGTCTTAAATGTGAAGAGACTTGAAGATAATTGTCCTCTGCAGGAAACAGAAGAAAGCTATTTTTGTGACTGTCAATGAAACATTTAAGGCAAATTGTTCTCACATTTATTTTTTCCCTACTACTGCATCACACCAGGAACCTATTCATACCCAAATATTTTTTCTTATTGAAGTAGCCCTGCTAACACCACTGTGTACTCTGTTTCAGCACTCCAGTCCAAAACCTGGCCTACAAGGTAGCATCTACAGGCAGTCCCCGAGTTACGTGGATCCGACTTATGTCAGATCCGCAATTACGAACGGGGCTTTTCTCGCCCAGGAGGACGCGAGCGGCAGGACGCCCAGATGCGCCGCGGTCCCGCCGCCTGCGTCCTCCCGGGCGAGAAAAACTGCTCCGCGTCTCCCCGGTCTGCTGGGGGGGGGAGCCCCCCCAGCAGACCAGGGAGACGGGGAGCAAAGCCGCGGAGCACGTGGGCAGCGGGACAGCCCAGATGCGTTGCTGCTGTCTCGCTGCCCGCGGCCTCCGCGGCTTTTGTCCCCCT